CAAAGTGACATTAAATGTTTATTTTTTTTAACTTTTGACAGTCCACAGAAACAATAAAATTCTGGGGATTCTAGGAATGTTAGAAGGGACCCCAATGCCAAAAAAAAGGGGAGGTCCCCCTAAAATCCTTTACCAGACCCTTGATCCCTGCAGCACCCTGGCAGAGCAGGAAAAGGGGGAGACAAGCATGCACACCCCCTGCACCATAACAGGCCATGTCGATGAGGACAAGAGCCTCTTTCCCACAACCCTGGCCCGTTGGTTGTGGGGGGTCTGCTGGCAGGGGGGCTTTTAGGAATCTGGGTGCCCCCTTGCATAAAGGGGGCACCCAGATGTTTCCCCCACCTCGTGAATGAGTAAGGAAACAAGCACCAGCTACAAAATGACAGCTCTGCTCTCGAATGTCAACAATGTGGGGTTTTTCAGTGAGGTGTGTTTATTTACAATTTTACTGCATTTGGTGAATGAGTAGGGGTAACAACTACCCGTTACTCATTCTCGAGGGGGGGCAGCGTCTGGGTGCTCCCTTTGTGAAAGGGAGCACCCAGATTCCTATAAGCCCCCCTGCCCATATACCGCAGTGCAGTGCTGAGCCAGTCACATCAGAAGCTTACACTCTAATGTCCCCCCCACAGTCACATCAGTCTCTGTGGGGGAGGACATTAGGGTGTAAGCTCCTCTGTACAGAGACTGATGTGACTGTGGTGGGGACATTAGAGTGTAAGCGGCGGATCCAGATATCCCTGGATCCGCCGCTGCAGCTTTGTATAATGTATTGCTGGAATTCAGTGACGTAACTAGACCCTTCAGGGCAAGAAACTATGAAGGGCCCCCCTAACCCCGGGCCGCCATGAAACTGTGTGGTTAACAGGAAGGCTGCCGAGGTCCCCAGCAAGTGCGGGACCTCAGGCAGCCGCTGCAGTTTAAAAATTTAGTGCCGGTGTTCTGTCGAGAACACCAACCCAGTATCTGCGTTTGCACACAGACGGATCCCGGTTTCCTCGATCATACTGGTCTGTGCACAAGCGCAGATGCTGAGGTCGGCAAATTCGATTACGTTGGTATTCTAGACAGAACACCGGTATCTGCGTTTAGTATCAGGGCATTTTCACGAGTATGAATACTTGTGAAAATGCCCAGTATTGGCACCGACTGGTGCATACCTACTTAATATTATAATGCAGGGCTCAAAATTTCAAGTCCTAAGCTACTAGCCAGGCCTAAAAAGTTACTCGCCACCAGTTGCCCCACCTAACCCCTACCCTGCCCCAGCCTTAACTCCGCCAGGTCAGCGGTGTGACGCAGAGTATAAAGATCAGTAACAATGCACAGTACAGAAGTCAGTGGTGCAATACAGAATACAGAGGCCAGCTGTGTGACGCGCAGTGCAGAGGTCAGCATTGTGACGCACAGTACAGAGGTCAGCAATGTTATATAATAGGAAACCAGCCTTACCGGAAAAGTAGTAAACCTGCTAAGCAGGTGGGTGCTTGTAGCGACCACGGATGGCACCATGAGCAATATAGAAGTAGTAAAAATTGTCACCAGCACACCACAATATTTACAGCAAAAAGTCCTTTAATGACAAATTGCCATTCAGTACAAGCGCTTTCGGGGTCTATGAAGTACCCCATTCATCAGGCTCATTCTGAGCCTGATGAAGGGGTACTTCTGAGACCCCGACAGCGTTCCCTCTCTCTGCTCCCGGCCGCTGCAGCTTCAGAGCGGCCAGAAGGAGAGAGAGGGAGCGATAACGGGTGTAATCAGAGCCGCCTCTCTGAGTGGAGCTGAAGCGGCCGGGACGAAAGAGAGTGAGCGCAGAGAGCAAGCTCCGGCTCTGGATGGAACACTACCGCCGCGGCAATCACTCGCTCGGTTCTGTTCTCTCTTCTCCTTCTCAGGCTCGGCCGCTCTGTAGCTGCAGCAGGCGAGAAAGAGAAGAGAAAACAGAAGCGAGCGAGCGCCGCGGCGGTAGTGTTCAATCCCTAGTCCCGCCGGCGAGGCACCATTACTGATATTCCACTCGCCCCCCCGCAATTTCCACTCGCCAATTGCGAGCGGGCGAGAGGCCTGTTATAATGTATTGCTGGGACTTGTAGTCCTGCATAGTTGGTGCTATTGTGCATTTCTCTATAATGATTACACAGCAATGCAGAATACCACCAGCTATGCAGGACTAAAAGTCCCAGCAATACATCATAATAAAAATCAGGGGGATGATGAATACCACCAGCATCATATGCAGAATACCACCAGCTATACTGCCACACCAATGAGAGACTGAGGAAAGGGGGATTATAAAAAAAATTAAGGAACGCTAAACTGTAATTAAGCGATTTATGTTATAAATGTTTTTTGCGCTGTGTTGGTGTTTGTGTTGTAATAAAATGATACAGGCGTAGATTTAATTACAACACAAGGTATTACAATGCACGGCAATGCGTCACACAGCTTTCCCATGCGCTGCCACAGTTAAATTAATGTTTTTTTACTATAGAAAAAAATAATGCACTGCGATGCGTTCTAACAACGCACTGCAGCGCATGTGCCTGGCGTACACCACAATATGGTATGTGTGGGGGGGAGGGGGGTTGTGCTTTTTTTATTTACACTTTTTTTTTTTATTATTATTTATTATTAATTTACTGTTGGGGGGGCTTTGGGGAAATATTAGGGGTCTAAACAGACCCCTGACATTTCCCTTTTGAAATAGAAAAAGACATTGAGGACACAGAGTCCTCAATGTCTTTTTCTGCAGCCTCAGCACTCAATGGATGGGAAGCACTCAGTACAGAGGCTTCCCATTCATTCACAAACTGCTGATAGTAAGATATTTACTATCAAGCAGATTCTCAATGGGGAGGAGCCTCCGTACTGAGTGCTTCCCATCCATTGAGAAATTCATGAATGAACAGGAGGTGATGCAAATCACCTCCTGTTCATTCATAACTGTGTCCCCACTTATTTACAAACACTGGAGTAATCAGTAGACTTGTGCGCCGTCAAAAAATTCGTTCTGTTTCGTTTCGGAATATCCGTTATTTCGTATTTCATCATTCGTAACTGAACTCAGATTCAGATTCAATACGAATTTTCGTTAGTGGCGGTTATATTTTCGTAACTTTACGAACATTCGTTATGATGAAGTTAAAAAGCAAAATACCTTTGTTACATAGTTACATAGTATTTGAGGTTGAATAAAGACATTAGTCCATCAAGTCCAACCTATTAGGATCTCATTCTAGGAGTAACAAAGAAATTCGGATCCGAAATTCGTTAACGGAATTTCGTATTTCGGATATAATTCGGAAACTGCCATTCGGATTTCGGATGCTCCGAAATTCGGAATTTCAGGAAAATTTGTACGAATTTCGATTCGTAACTAAACGAATCGCACATGTCTAGTAATCAGACAATCCCTCCAGTGTTTGTGCTGTACACGGAGGATCGGTAAATATCAATGATACTTACCGATCCTCCACTCGGCCATGCACACAGCCACTGTCATCCTGAAACTGACAGGAGGACAGCGGCTCCGCTCTCCTCCCCGCCTGCCTCAATCACGATGATCCGCCAATGACCTGCACACCCGAACCGATGCTGCGGGGGCCCGGCCGCCTCCTCGCACTTCACCGTCGGCCGATACTCATGTATGGGTCCCGGGCGGGCCCCCGGAGGCTGCCCAGGCCCCTTACATGAGTATCGGCCGTACCCCCCTGACCACGGCCCTGACCACAACCACCGGGCCAGGGTTGTGAGGAAGTGGCATTTTTCCTCATTGACATGTTGGTTTGCACAGGCAATGTAGGGCAATGTAGGGGGAGGAGATGCAGCTTATAGACATTCCTTGCACTGGGAAATAGAATCCCAATCAATCAAAGTTTTCTGACTTGCCCATTGTTCTGTCCCCAGAGAATGTTCGTTCAGAGCTGTCATGTGCATCACATTCCCATTACCTTCTAAAAAGCCATCATGAAGTTGCCACTCTCTAATTTATGTTTATTTGTCTTTCTGGGGAATACATTAGCAAGAGTGTGACACCATCATCAGTGGTGTATCTTGGTTTTGTGCTGCCCTAGGCAAGACTAAACCCGAGCACCCCGCCCCCCCATCCCTAATCTAAATTAGTCCCACCCCTTCCGGTTTAAGACATTTTGCATAACCTGTCAGTAGTGCGATACAGCGCGCACGTTGTATCTAGATTCTGACAGGTTGCGCTATCAATGTAGCGGGACGCTCTAGTTCTACCTTTGCAATAGCCACCTTCTCTATTCCTGGCTTGATGGGCTCCCTAATTCTGCAGCTGCAACACCGATCTTCTGCCTTAATATGCTGGGCCCTCTAATTCTGCATTTACCCATCTTCTGCCTTGGCCGCTGGGCTATGTAGCTCTAGATACATAACTCTTAACGGAGTTTATGGAGCTGCAGCATACATGTAGGTGTAGGCGGTATAGGTGGACACGTTGATCCCCAGTCAAAGAAGCACCAGGTCCAGGAGTACTGGCAGTAATTCATGAATAATTTATAATATAATTTTTTTTTCTCCCAATTAACTGTTTTTTTTGGCGCCCCAACTAACAGCATTTTTTGGCGCCCCCCTGGAAAGTGCCGCCCTAGGCAAATGCCTAGTTTGCCTTGCAGTAGATACACCCCTGACCATCATTTGTTCTCATAAAGGCCACGGCAGTTGGGCCCACGCGGAAATTGGAGTCACCTGGAAATTATGGAAGCACGTAGGTGACTCTACTTGATGGTAGTTTGTAGTGGAATGGCCCTTAAAGACAACACCAACATCAAAAGTGACATGCAAAAGACAGTAACCTTTAGCAACAGGGAATCCTTTCTGTGTTTTACTAGCCTGATTTCAAACCAATCTAGTTGTTTGATTGCTATAGTCTACAACTGCCAATTGCTTGTTCCTTAATTGGTAAGCCTAGAAGTAACCAAACAGTCACCTAGAGGAAGCTCAGAATATTTATTGAGACTGGTGTGCAGAAATTAAGTGCAGTTGTTCTGGAACAGGGTGACAGTGGCACCAAGCAGTGTTTTTAGCTGGCTTTGCAGGCTAGCAATGCTCAACACCTGCACTGTGTTGGCATTGTTTGGCGCCAGGGCTCCTTCAGCTCTAATGGGCCGATTGTTGTTGTCCAGGCAGCAGTATCCGCTCCATATGTGACTAGGAATGTTGATCCTTTGTACACCATTGACAGAGATCCAATTGTTTCCAGGCACCGCACCCGTTACCACATACATCCTACCACAAGTGGCTGCAATGTCCCTCACTTTCTTCTCATTGCCTCGCCAGGCGCCACTGTTTAGGGAGCCGAACATGGGTGCCACGTTGGTCAGGGTATAGGTGGCTTTCTGGCTAGGCCCATCAGGATGGTCGGCATTGGGGTTCAGGTGACCTTTGTGGTAGTTGCTTCCCGTGTAGTCAGAATTGATGGCCTGATTCTGTTTGATGAGGTCAGTAGCGACACCGGAGAGGCCGAGATTGCGAATTGCAGTTTCAGTTGCAGGCTGGAGCGACATTTCCCTTGGAAGCCTGGTGTCCACAAGCTGAAAGGCAAATTTAAAAAAAATGGGTAGTAGTCGTAAAAATTAGTAGTACGTCGTAAAGCTTATTTCCAACCCAAATGTTTTGGGGTTTTTTGGTAATGTGGACTAAATGTAAAATTTCTGTCAGGTTTTCATTTCTGTCCGTGATTCCATTGGGGAGATTTTCTCTCACTTGTTACTGTGACATCCATACAAGAAACAGGGGGAGCAAATGTCACCAAGACAGGGAGGCAGAAATGACAATAAAAACTTTGAAGAAGTCCTAACCCTTCGTCATTGTACTAAAAATTTATTTTTGTCTGTATACTTATTGGAGAGATTCCCCATCACTTCCTGTCCTGACTGAATGTAAAAGGAAATCTCTCCAACCGGAACACAGACAGTAATGAAAACCTGGCAGAGTTTCAAAGCCTTCCACGCTCTATCCAAAACTAAATGAAAGGATTTGGCTGCAGGTGAACTCCACCAACGCATTGTATTGAATGCAGTGAGAAAGACACAACCGGAAGCCATGAGATATATCAGAACAGGAGCCCCCATTGGATGACTTTCTTTCCCTTCCTGTTACAATGATATTTGGCAGATTTAGGCTAGGTTTACACTAGGGCAATCCATGACCGTGCGGCAATTGTGCATGAAACCGCGTGGATGGCCGTGTGGTTACAAAATTGCACATCATTATTTTCTAATGGCACCCCAGTCGCGCCAGGCAGATCACACAGTTTTCCGCAGCTATACTGCCCGCGCAATTGTGCATGATCGCGGTTGAAATAACCGCACAGTGCGTGTCGCAAAAAAGTAGATGTACCTTTTTCCAGCGATGGCCACGCGGATATAACCTCATTGAAATGAGCGGCAATCGGCATTCGCTGTGTGCAATCGTGCACGATTGCACGGTCCCAGGATTGCCGATATGTGAACCTAGCCAAAGGATGAACTGTCACTGAACCTTGTAGTGAGAGGTGATTTCCCCAATGGAGATTCAGAGGGCAACAAGACAGAGGTCCTAGACCTTCCCCACTCTATCCATAACTAAAACTTTTTGAAGGTTTTAAAGGTAACTTTTCGGTATAATTTTCTAGTTGTTTAAACCAGCAGCATTTGGATCAGGTAACCATTACATGCTTTGTAGAGGCACCTTTTCTATTATTTCATTGCGTGGATTTGTCTGATATGTTCATAGTACCTTTACTGCAATAATCAAAAGATGATCGAATCTGTCCCAGATTAAAAAAATAAATAAAAACAATTTATTAGGGATGCATTGGCCGATATATTGGCCGCTGAAACATATCGGCCGAAAATTGCACTTTTGGCATAATGCCGATACATCAGCACATCCCTGCTTTCTCTCCTCCCCGCTGGACGCTGCTCTGTGTCCCAGCGGGGAGTAAAGAAACTGTCACAGGCGATCGAGTGCTGCGGGAGGAGAACGCTGTGAGCGGCCGGCGTCTCTTCTCCCCTCCTGTGACAGATCGGCAGAGCGGCGGTGTGGGAGGAGACAGCCAGCGCTGTCACAGCAGGCTGAGCTCCACTCCCTCAGCTTCCTGTGACCGTTGTCAGAATGGAGAGCAGTACAATCACTCAGTGATCGCTGATTGTTTGTAAATAATTGAGGACATGGTATGTTTACTATATCCTTAATTATGAATGAATGGGAAGTGATCTACATCACCTCCTGTTCATTCATGATTGTGGTTATAGCAAATATGCCATGTCCTCATGTTATGAATGAACAGGAACACTCAGCATAGAGGATTCCTGTTCATTGATAACAGGGGCTGCAGAAAAAGAGATTGAGGACTCTGTGTCCACAATCTCTTTTTCTATTTTAAAAGGGAAATCTGTTAAGACCCCTGATATTTCCCTGAAGTCCCTAAAAGTAAAGTAAAAAATAAAAATATTTTTAAAAAAATGAATAAATATAAAAAAATAAAAAGTTTATAAAAAATGAATAAAAATAAAATATTTGAAAAAGTTAAAATTTTTGGTTTCCGTTTCAGTTCCAAGTTTATCCAAGGCTTACAGTATATGTTTTAATGTGTTTTCTTATTATTTTCAGTTACAACTAGGGATGCACCGATACCGATACTAGTATTGGTGCAGATGCTGAGTATTTGAATGAGTACTCATACTCGCCCAAATGCTACGATGCCTAGCCCGATACCTGAGCTTCCGGTATCAGGAAGCCGGGCAGCAAGCTATTACATGCTGCCTAGCTTCCTGATTGGCCAGGAAGCCGACTCCATGCTCCCTCATCACTAGGCGACGAGAGAGCATGGAGCCGGCTTCCTGACTAATGACTCACCACCTAGCTTCCTGATTGGTTGGGAAGCTGGCCAATCAGGAAGCTGGGCAACAAGTCATTACTCGCCTCCCGGCTTTCTGATTGACCAGAAAGCCGTCTTCATGCTCCCTCATCACCTGGTGACGAGGGAGCATGGTGCCAGCTTCCGGCGCCGGTTAATGACTTATTGCCCAGCTTCCTGATTGGCCAGCTTCTTGACCAATTCAGGAAGCCGGGAAACGAGTCATTACACAGTGCCCGGCTTCCTTATTGGCCAGGAAGCTGGCTCCATGCTTCCTCATCACCTGGTAACGAGGGAGCATGGAGATGGCTTCCCTGCTAATCTGAAAGCCGGGTGGCGAGTCTTTACACACCGCCTGGCTTCCGGGCTAATCAGGAAGCCAGGTGGCGAGTTATTACATGCCACCTGGCTTCCTTAATGGGACCGGTATCGGCATTCAGTATCGGCAAGCACTGGAAAAAAATATTGGTACTTGTACTCGATACAAAAAAACAGTATCGGTGCATCCCTAGTTACAACTATGTCTTATTATTAAAGGTAAATATTTAGCATTTGCTAGTGTCAAACTCCAGGCTAGGACACCCAGGTCATGATTTTTTAAACACCTTTGCTGTGAAATACACCTAAATAGCTGGAAAGGTCAGATATAATAGACTACAAAATTAAGGAAAGACACTTCTCCTACTACTTTTTCATCGATGGGACCTGGTTTAGTCTGTGATAACCTAGTCAAGAGAAAGCAAAATGTCAGCCACTCACATCAATTTAGAACTAGGATGGGCAGGGGCATGTGGGCAGAGCTGTACACTAAACAATAGAAACATTTCCGAGTACTCAATCCAGCGCAAAAAATCTAATGAAACCGTTTCAACATTTCGGTTAAAAGGTTTTTCATGCATACATTTCCAAATTCATGTGAAGCCATACTGCCACATCAAGGTAGTGAAGTCTAACTGAAGTTAACTATCTTAGCTCACAACCTAGGATGTACTGTATATAACAACAAATAAACCAGGACTACTTAGAAGACATGCCTGTTCTCAATTTGTGCATTGATATACCATGTCGAGTGCTCAAAAACCTATTTTTTTAACCTAAATGTTGTAACAGTTTAATTATTTTTTTTTAAATCATCATTATCATGGATGCAACTTATATGAAACATTTATTTTTGAAATAAAGGTTTTACACCAAGAAAGTCTATGGCTTTCAAAAAAAGGTTAAAAAATAATGATAGTTTTCTGCATATGATATATGACCAGTATGATCTCACCTGTGGCTCGAGTCGGAAAGTCTGGTCGGCTCCTGTGACATCACCGGGTCTGGTGTCCAGGATATAAGCAGAATACAGAGGATACCTGTTTCCCTTGTGATATAGTGAGGCAAAGAAAGGATTGTTGTAGGTCTCATACATCTGGCAGATGGGGGTAATGGGACCGGTAAATCCAACCGGAGGTTTGCTGGCATAGAACTGACCCAGGCAGTCGCTAAAATTTGGGCTGACTCTGGCCAAGCCTGCATGAGCCAGAGCCAAAACCACAAGGAGTTGAAACACCATGGTGGGACCTTCAGAAACTCTCAACTGTCCACAAACCTGGTGTGTATTGCCACAACTACAAGACCTTGTTGTGATCCACTCAACTGAACTTCCAAAGTTTATAGGCTCCATGTGACCTAGTGAACCTGTTGGTGTTTCCATTTGATTACAATCACCCGTGGAAAGTTGGCCTCCCGAAGGTCAAGTTTTCTGTCAACACCTGGAGCGTTCTCAACATACAAAATAGAATTAAAAGAACCATCAATTCAGAGTTACAAAAATGGTACTTTTGTTTTGAGCATCTGGGCCATTTTAAACAAAGTTCTTGGGCTATTGTTGTATTAGTTTTTAACACTTTGAAAATCACCAATAGGAATGAGTTAGCTTCAGGTAAATGTTTAAAAAGATTTTCACTTTTAAACAAAACACATGGCATAACTTATTCTGTAGATGTTGGCCATCAGTCTAGTTATCTTCCCATATTCCTGGCACATTTTTACGAAAGTTGTCCTTTCAATAAACCTCTGAGTAAAGCCTAGCCTTGTAGTCAAATACTAACCTTGACCCCTACTTTGGAGTTTCTCACTGTGCAGCCTTGCCAGTGGCACCCAGCCTTTGCATCCAAAACATTCTGGTCGGGTTACTCTGCTTAGTGTACATGCATGTCATAGTTCTATTCATATCTATAGATGGTCTGAACCTCGATTGGGGGGAGCCACCATGAGTGTGGCCCCAGCCATCCAGTCATTTATGGACTATCCATTGGAATGAATGGGGCCTTTGCACACTAGGCAGAGACCTGGACGTGAAGTATGTAGTCAACTAGAAAGGCACATTCTCTTGGTACCTCGTGCAAAGATGGCTTTCCGTGCTAAAACCAGCCAATATGTACTCTTTGACCTCATTCCAGACAGACGCAAGAGAAAGACATTTAATCTAGGTAGATAATTATGCAATCATTGAGTTTGTATATATAGCTTTGTGTTAGGTTTATCAAGTTCAAACTTAAAAAGTTTCAATAGTTAAAGCAGACATTCACACTAAAATAAACATTGCAGCACTGCATTCCTCTCCCCTCCACAATCTAAAAAAATGACTTATTTTGGCTTCATTTTCCTTTTTTTAATTCCTAGTCCAGCTCACCCCCTGCCTTCATGCTTGCCTAGGCCAGAATTACATGAATCATCCTCCCTGCAGCCTCCTGGGATATGAACGTCACATAACTCAAGCAGGCAGAGGCCTAACTAGGAACCCCAGGGCCCCGGTGCAAGAAACAATGAAGGGCCCCCCACTCCACCCCCCATAAAAAAATGTCGGCGCCTTGGCAGTTGCCGCGGTAGTGCATGTGGGTAGTCCCAGGAGACAAGGCCACTAGTTGAAATCATGGTACCCCATACAGGTTGGGCTATGCGGATTAATAATATTAATCATTTTTATTTATTTTATTCTTTTTTTTTACGTTTTTATTTTATTATTTTGAAACTTTTATCAATTTCTTTTATTTGTTTTCCCATTTTTATTTATTTTATTCTTTTTTTACTACGTTTTTATTATATTATTTTTTACTTTTTATCAATTTCTTTTTTCCATTTTTATTTATTTGATTCTTTTATACTTTTTTCTTTTCACTTAATCTTATTGCTATCACACAGGGACTAACAAGCCCCTGTTTGAAAGCATTCGGAGGCGACAGACTCTGTGTGAGCCTGCCCTCCAATAAGGATGAGCTCGGGCGTGTTCGCAGCTCCACGTGTTGAGCCCGCCAGGAAGCTGACAGCGCGTAGCGCCAATCACAGGCACTGAGACATTTTCCGATCTCTGCAGCTGGGACCAGGAAATGTCTCAGTACCTGAGATTGGCGCTGCGTGCTGTCAGCTTCCTGGCAGGTTTGGCACGTGGAGCTGCGAACACGCCCGAGCTTATCCTTACCCTCCAATACAGAAGATAGAGCACACATGTGCTCTATCTTCTGTACAGCTCAGGTTGTGACTAGGGATGATGCGCCGGTTCGATTCGAACATGAGTTCGAATCGAACATCGGCCGTTCGAGCGTTTGCCGAACGCCAAACTTTATGGGATGTTCGCGGTCTGTTCGACCGCACAGCGTCCCATACTGCAAAGAGCCCTCTGAAGCTCTAATTGGTTAAAGACTTGCACCTGACCACAGGTGCACAACCTCAGTACTCATTTGGAGCCATGATTGGGCAACGTCATGATCACTCATGTCTCGCCTATCAGATGCCGGCAAACTACACAATTGGGCGGAGCCAGCTGTCACCACTAGCTCTGCCCAATTGTTTATGTTTTGCCGGCATCTGTCAAAATGCCATTATGCGGCAGGAGTTGGCGTGGAGCGGACGGGACCGCGGACGGTGTTTTAAAAAAATTATATCTATTTATTTTTTATCGTTTTGTTTTTTATTTCGTCGTCGCCGTGGACAATGCTAGACGCCATGATTGACCATGGATTACGTCAGTGGATCCATTTTTCTTTTCTTTTCTTTTTTAATAAAAGACTTGTGAAAAACATGTCTTTTTTTTTTTCAATTAAAGGATTTTATCAAAAGTCTGGACTTTTTAATAACTATTTGATTTAAACCTTTAGTCAAGGGTTAAATCAAGAGGGGGGGCGGCATCTGGGTGCCCCCCTAATTATAGGAGTACCCTGATGCAGGGCCGGACTGGGACTAAAAATAGGCCCGTGCATTTTAGACTGAGCAGCACAATCACGTGACCACCAACAGGCCCCACCCCTCACCACAGAGGGCGGAGCCAAACACAGAAGCGCAATCGAGGGGCAAGGCCGGCCACAGGACTGGGACTAAAAATAGGCCCGTGCATTTTAGACTGAGCAGCACAATCACGTGACCACCAACAGGCCCCACCCCTCACCACAGAGGGCGGAGCCAAACACAGAAGCGCAATCGAGGGGCAAGGCCGGCCACTAGCAAGTACCGGAGGGCTACAGCTGACACACAAGCCTTGCTACAACCAAAACACAAACCTTGCAACAATATAGGAAGCTTGCTATAGCGAATATCTGTAAAAAATAAGTCAAGGCAACTGGACTTTCTGTATTTTTCTTGAAGACGTTTCAATAGTCATCCAACCAGCTTTCTCAATTCAGAAAGTTCTGAATTGAGAAAGCTAGTTGGATGGCCAGTGAAACGTCTTCAAGAAAAATACAGAAAGTCCAGTTGCCTTGACTTATTTTTTACAGCTATACCATGACCTGGATGAATGAGAACCTTCACAGACATATTGCTATAAAGAATCGGATCTCACTGGCCCCCCAACCCCCCTGGCATTCTCTGCACT